GGCATGGGTTGGCGTAATGTTTGACTTTTCCGCCAACCCATGCTGTAAAGGTCATGGGTTGGCCATGAGCTCCTGATGGCATGAGCCATCAGGAGCTCATGGCCAACCCATGCCAACCCCCTGATGGCATGAAGGCCAACCCCCTGATGGCATGAAGGTCTGTCTTTGCTCTGTTTGCAGGGGGACCTCTGGTTGGGTGGAGACTCTAGGATGGTTATTTTCCAGAACAAGTTTCAACTCTACCTTCAGTTCTGCAACCTGACCCTGCAGAGATTTCACCGTTTCCTCTTGTTCTTTGAACTTGGAAGTTTGTTTGCTGTGACATTTGAGCTGCTCCTCACATTGTATTCTTCAACCAAAGATTTATCAGAGCTTCATTGTGGGACACATATTTTTCAGCCTCCCTCTTGAAGTATTCAAGCTCATTAAGAATGTCTTTGTCAATCGTAGCTTTGGAAAAGCTAGAAATCTTTGATAAATCTGTAATCTCTGGCACCTTTCTTTCATGTTCACATTTGACTTTCAAGCGATATTCTTTCTCTAACATTTTTTGAATCTCTTCCTGCTGGGATTTAACTTCAACTTGATATACAATCCTTCGTTCTCGTTCCTCATGGAGATCAAAAATCTTACTCTGCAGTTCTTTTTTAAGATAATCTACCTGCTTTGTAAGATCATTGACGTGTTGGCTAACCTCTTCACTCCTATTATTCTTGTTGTACAAGGGATGAGAAGACTGAGGATTGCCAGTGGCCTTGAAATGCTTTGACGTCCTCTCATGGTAGAGTGGAAGGCCACATCACTCTTTGTTTTCTTGCCTTTGCAACTCCAGTGAAAACAGGGTTGGGACAGGGAACTGTTGATGGTTGACAAGTTTGCTGGTTTTCAACTGGGTTGAGAGGCTCGGGATCAGCAGAGGGAGTTGATTCCTGCTGGACTCCCACTAAAGGGGTAATCTCGAAGCCAGCAGAGGGAGTCATTTCCTGCTCGACCTCCAATGATGTTGGACTCCCAAAGTCGCCGGAAGGACTTGATTCCCCCTGGATCTCTGCTGACTCACCTTCCGGCTTTGTGGGGCTGTCATCTTCAGAAGGGAAAATGACAGCGTCGTAGTCGACTTGTGTGTTGAGGTCCATCATGTCGACCCATGAAAGCTCAGATGGGAAAGCTTCATGTTCACAAGGAATCTGTTGTTGCTTCATGTCTATATTCTGGCAAATTCTTGCTTCTCTGAAAGGTGTGGAACATCTGGAATCAATATCTCGCTCGTTCCGAACGTGCTCTGAAGAGTGATCTGTCGCGATAGAAAAGTGAAATAAGTCAGAAAAAAACTGTGTGTGTGTGTGTTACATTCAAGAGAGAGGTTCCTTTCTCGTATCACAGAGAGATGTCATCACTGTTGATGTCACACATTGAAACTGAACTAATTTAACCTGCTGTTTGAAAAATGCCACATTTACAAATCTTTACATCTTTTTATGGAAATATAGCTACTAAGATAAGAGATAAATAATAAGCATACAGACAACTAGGCTCAAAAATAGTCATACCTCTGGAAAATTTTATGATTCTCTCCATAAACCCTTTTCCAGGTCAAAGCTGGGACTATGCCTCTATTAGATTAAGTATAGGTTTTTATTTCCCCTATGATTGCTATACATAAATACAAGCCTAGTTCATTGTAGCTTAATTCTGTACACACAAAATTTCTTCGAACTAATAAGGTCTATTATGGAGAATTTTTTTTTAGTTTTCAGAATTTGGGGGCTTTTTCTCGTAATTCAGGAGTCGGTTTGGATCAATGGACAGCAATACTTTATCAGTCCAGAACTCCAACCTTCATGTTCAGTCTTGCCATCTCAGTTCATAACCAGCCATCTGGTGAGAGCTGCTGTTTGGATGCTAATGTGCTATGGCTAGCTTATTACATTTAGGGAGAGGCCCCATACATCTGCAATTTACCAATAACGTTTCTTACAGTGTTGAACAATTTGGCTATACAGCATCATGTAAATAAACAAAAACAGTTTCACAAAATGTTTAATGTACACAATTACATTACATTCATCAAAATGTCCCTAAGGAACTAATAAACATTAAGAAAATTTATTAATTTTCTAGTTTTCATATTGCTTGCATATGTGTTGCCTTTAGGGACATTAGAAGATTAGTTTCAATTAATTTCTACAGGCATGTTTTTGTGCAGCATGTGCCAAGTACTCCAGGACCACAGAATTCAAAATATTTTGGAGGGGGGAAAAATCAACCGGCATTAGTCAGTTCTTGTAAATATCTTAAACAGTTTAGGTGTATACATTTGATTTAATTGACAAAACCTTCTAAAACTGTTCCTAACATTTTGCAGATCGTACCTTAATTGGAGAAGCTTGCGGAGAGATTCACATATTTGCATTTCATATATCATGTTCGATTTTGAGAAACTATTTTTTAAGAATATTAATGACAATGTCCCAATATTCTGAACTATTAACCCCGTTTTAGTACTTCATGTGCCCAACAGCTTGAAATGAGCAGAAATTAAATGAGTTTTGATTTATTTAAATAAAATACTAATTCCTGATCAACTAAGACTGTCCAAACGGAGCATCAGCACAACCTGCAGACGTCTATGATTCTGGTCAACAAGCACGACAGGGTTGGCAACAGAAGTGAACCAGTGACAAAGACGAACATGGTCCAGGAAAAAGGCGACAAATTTACACTTACCCATAACAGACGCAGAAAGCTAGCTAGCTAACAAGGGTATGTTAGCTGCTAGTTGGCGGTAGCCTCAACGGTTTCGAGCCACAATGAAGGAGCCTGCGCGCGACTCAAACGTTTGGCAAACAGAAAATCTCGTGAGAATAGAAAAATAAACTGCATAGATTACATAGTTATGCCACCACCAAATTTAAGACCTGAGATTAACATAATAAAAGCCAACTTACTGTTTGTTCTAATGAATTTAGATATTTCAAAGTCTTAGATACATGAAGACTTTTTAAGGCAAGCGTGGGCACCTTGCTAATTCCCTGCAGAGTTGTAGGGATGTTGGTACCATTAAAATATATTAATAATAGCATAATAAACTATTACTACTATATAGTTATAATTGGTACCCTCCAGTAGCCAATGAGGCAGAGGCACACACTAGCATGTATGGATGACAGTGTAGCCATTGCATATAACAGCAAAGTGTAACTCTCTATTAATAATATAAACAGAAAGCATTTCACAAGCATCATTAATAAAAATAAAAAAAAGTAACCACTCATACAGCCTTGCTTTTTATTTTATCTTAAAGCACAGCACTCATTTTATTCCACTACAAAAGAAGAAAAAAAGAGAGGCATCAGTAGAGCACCGGTAAAAGCAGAACAGCGTGCAGCTCGTCTCGGCCACAGACTGGAGCTTCAGCCCAAGCGAAGGAAGAAAACACAAGGAGTCCCAGAACAAGTTGTCGGACATCTCAACTGTCCACTTTAACATGCAAGTTTACAGCAAAGCCTCTGCAGATGAAAGACAATGCTAAGATCAGACAGGGAGGCAGATTATAAACAAAAAACACCGAATGAGAGGGAGAGTTTAAAGTCCAACTGCCTACACTAGACAGACTGGAGGAATCAGACCACAGCACAGTCAGGAATAATATAATACTCTATAATTAAAATTATCTTAAAGAAAACAAACTCCAGCCAGAAGTGTGTCTTTAATCGGGACACTGTATATTCACAGGTCCACCTGGCCTTCAAAGCACGTTCCAGTCAGACTGCCCTTTAAGCTTCATCAGTCCAGCATGCAGCCATAGTGAAGCAGGGCGCCATGGTAACGCCTGGAAGTGGGTGAGGAAAATTAAAAATCCAAACATTGTAAGAAACTACAAACTGAAGCAAATCCCCTCGTCTCCTCTCCTCTTTAAATAACAAGACAGCTCCTCATACAATCCTCTGCTTATTACATTATTAATATTACTACTTCCTCTCATGTACATTCAAGCATGAAAATCCAGAGTGAAGAGTGTTTAAAAAGCCTCTGATTGGATGAAATGTCTCAGGAACTTCAGAGATAGAGATGAATAAACAGGTGATTGTTTCATACAGTGTGAGATGCATAGCAGGATGTCAGCACGCCCCTTGTTGTCCAATCAAACATGGCTTTCATAAAACACCTGGCAGGGCGGGGTCTTGCTGATTATCTGTTCGGCCGCTGCCTGGCTGCCGATCTCCTCTTCTTGCGCCACCTGTTGCTCCTCCAGAGGCAGAGGGGACGACGGCGGGGACGGCGAGGGAGAGGGAGACGGCGACGGCGGCCACGCCTCGTACACACCGCAGCAGTCCCCGTTGTCGAGCGGAGGGTGCACGGACGCCTGGATGGCGATCTGCTGCGGCTGCTCGTGAACGGACGAGTTGTCCGAGTCGGCGGCTGGCGACTCGCTGCGCTCTCTCTCCCTCACCTGCAGGATGGTGAAGACGTCCCGCATGCCGATGGAGGGGATCCAGCCCTGTGCGTCGCGCCGCCACTCGGGGACGTGCCGGACGAAGGTGTGCCTCATCTCCTCCACTCCCACCACCTCCAGGATCTCCTCCATGAAGGTGCGGCAGTTCATGATGAGCGGCGGCAGCGGGATGCTGCGGGCCAGCTCCTCGATGTAGCGGGCGAACTCCATGGTCTTGAACTGGGTGACCTTGGCCAGCTCCAGCGTCTTGGCCGAGGTGATGATGGGGATCCGCTTTGCGATCTCAAAGGCCTTCTGCAGTTTCTCGGCGCCCTCGGTGCGGAAGAACTCGTTGATGACCTTCTCCGTCTTCTTCAGGTGGCTGCTCATCATGCAGAGGCGCGTGATGTTCAGGATCATGATGATGGTGAAGGTGACCAGACACACCACCATGTAGTACACGCCCATGTCGCCGTTGGTGAAGACCACGCGCAGGGTCACCGTGCCGTTGGCGGTGCCATGGACGTTGGTCGCCATGCACGTGTACTTGCCTCGGTCTGAGAACTCAATGCTGGTGATATTGAGAACGCCGTTGTCCAGCAGCCACCACTTCCCTCCTGCAGACACACACACACACACACACACACACACACACACACACAGGACCATGATGCCGTTTCTCTGGGTTTCAGTTCATGTTTCATTTGTCTGAGACAGAATCCTGATAAAGTCACTAACTGTGGTCAAAGTTTAAGTCTGCCTCTCTCTGTTCTGCTGTTGACCTGTTTTCATTAGGAACTTACAGCTTCTACTCACATAATAGTTCGTAAAAGTTCAAAGAAAAACTTATTTAACCTCTATGTGTTAAATAACTGGGATGTAATCATTTGTTATCAGATAAAAGCCAGATAAAAGGTACTGATTAATGAGTTATCTAAAGTCGACTGATCTTATTAATAGTCTAACAATTAATTGATAAGTGGCCATTTTCTTTTGTATCAAGAGAGTCGATGGTCCTTCCATAAAAAGAAAAATCTAACTTTTTCACATTACATTAAATTAAAAAGAAAAAAGACAATTAAATTTTAATGTTATTTAGTGTCAGCTGTATAAAATACTGACTGATAGACTGAAAATTGCAGCAAATTTAAGATACAACAGAAAAACTTCCTCTTAGGCTGCTGAATAGAAAAGTAAAAGATGAAAAGAATAAAATATTATTGAAACACTCAATCCTCCATCAGCAAAGAGATGTTCATACAGAAGTACTGTCTGCATTTTCTCTTGAAGGAAAGTTAAAACTTGACTCCACAAGCTGCATTGACTCACAACTACCCTCAAAATCAACCTTGCTTATTATGTTTGTTTTTTTTTCGGTCATGTTACAATTGTTCTCTGTTTTTTTTTAACACATCCTCACCTTAACATTGACTGAACTTCTCATTCAGTAATTTCTGAATGAGAGGCTGATGCTGTTTCGCCTTTCAGCTAGGCTAAATGAGCGCTGTCATGATGAAACTTAAAGTTATCGAGTGTTTATATTTCAAAACAGAACTTCTTAAAGTCCATTTTACATCCCAAACCGAACTATGTTTGGACAGTTTCACTTTCCAATTCTGGTATGGCCCCGCCATCTTTATTCCTGTATCAACTGGCTAAGCCTAAGGATGACCAACAGCGCCCTCTGCTTGGATGCCGGATAAACTACGACACTAACAAAAGCTCTAAGCGGAAGTTATTCATTATTGGAACTAATTTTAATCTAATAATTAATTGACATTTGAATGAAAGTTAATTAATTGTTTGCATCCTCACTAGGTACATTTAAGGTCTGAGACCAGCAGAGATGAGGAGATGAGGCCCGCCATGTTTTCAATATTTAAACACAGCAATACGTTTCATTTGGCAACGCTGTGCATTATGCAATCTGCATCAGACTATTCAGGGGAAATGCTTCGCAAAAGTATTCACACCCATTATACTTTTTATACATTTGTTGAAAATTACAACTGCAAACCTCACACAAAGTAAAGAATATTTTTAAAATGATTCGTGGAGTTCAAAACAGTTTTACAATAATATGTGAACTTGCACACTGTACCTGTCCTATTTTTGTCAAAGGAAAAAAAACTGAAGCTCCATATTTAACTACATAAAATCCAGATAAAATATGTTGAAGTTTGTGTTTATACATGTGATCTTTCTGTCTGTCATTTGGAGAGAAGGCCTGTGTTTAATTACACGTGGTTTTGTGAAGGTGCATGCAGCGACAAGCAGCCAGCTGCAGTCACTCCACCAGACCAGCTGCTCAAACGAGTATTTGAAAAGACCGAACCATATTGGACCTGCAGAGCGCTGCCTGTTTGCTTTAGTTCTGGATTGCTGCTCGTCAAATCAATGAGCTGCTCGTTTTCGCTGATAACAAGAATGTGAACTGTTGAGCCGCTGAGCAGTTCAAAGGAACAGCTCCAGATCAGTGTTTTCTAATGCAGAGTTGATCAATACCGCTCTGTTAGATGTTAAAGCTACAACCAAATGTAGAAAGAAGTTCCCTTAACCAAACAGAACCCACTGTTCATTTCTTAAGCTGTTTATTGAGGGAGATTTTAGGTTAATCCAACAGCTATGCAAAGCAAACCATATTCTGCTGGGCACAACCCCGTTTCTGTCTGACTTCCACTCCTTCAATATTGTACGTCTCTGTCGGGGGGATTTCATGTCCGCCATCTTAATTCCGCTCTGGCTTTGAATTAAAGCCGACTTTGTGGGCAGATTTCATCCCACGCGATACATTTTTAAGATTCTGCATCAACAACTCCTCGTCCTCTCCTCCTCAGTACCCAGCGGCATGGGAATAGAGTTGGAAAAATATCACAGAGGACTCCTTTAAGACCCGTCCACAAATAACCTGAGCAGACTGCTGTCCTCAGGAAGAGATTAATGAGTTTTCAGGAAAAGCAGCTGCTGGATAGCTTTCCCACCCATCCGCCTTTTCAGACAAAAGAGAAAGCAGATTTCTAATTTTATCCCTGCAGTCAACTCGCGTGAAAACACTGATGTTTTGCCAACTGCTTCTAGAATGATTGTAGGGAAAATAACGCACGATTGCAGGAACGACCCAAGCAGCACTAATCAAGAGAATCTAATCCAGAAACAATCTGGGATAAGAGCAGGGGAAATAAAGCCTTTTTTTTTTTTTTTTTTTTGAGGAAGTTCTGAGTGTACAGCTGCAGGGGTTTTTGGGTCAAAAACATTAATAACAACAATGACTCAGCCTCCTACTTCATGGCAGGTTACAACAGGCTGGCACAGGAAAGGCACCGACATAAAAACACTCTTCCTCTCATGCTGAAAAAATTCTCTCTCTCAAATAAAAGAAAATATTTAATGAATGAATTAGGAACGGTTTTATTAGTTTCTATCCAATAAAGATGGAAATGTGCCAGATGATGAAGGAAGTAAGAGAAAAATCCCCACTTTACATGAATAGCTTTGTCCCAGTCAGCATATGCAGCTGTATTTTTCCATAGGTGCCCATGCTACGGCCTGTACGACCTCTGACCTTCTGTGTGTGTGTGTGTGTGTGTGTGTTGCTGTGTTTGGACAACCCTGATCCACTCAGAGCTACCTGACAGGAAATTGTTTATTTACCTCTAGACCTTCTAAAGAAAGTTTGCGTCTTCAAGCTGTAATTTTTAAAAGTATCTACACAGAAGTTTGCTCCAAATTTACCAACAGTAACATAGGATTCAGTTTATTTATCTAAACTTTGAATTTAGGTCAACTCACAAAAGGAATGACGGAAATGAAAGCCTGTTTTTAAGATATTTTCTGTCACTTGTAAGTTCTTCCTATCCGGGGAAAAATTTGATTAAAATCGAAAATCGGTTTTAACTGACAATATTTTTAAGCCACATCACCCAACTCTATCTTCTTATAAACTGTAATGAGCAATAAAGTCTTGAAATGTAAATATTTTATTTATTTTTCCTCTCTACACTTGTATAGAGCTACAAAAACTACAAAAACCAGCTTCCACGTCATTCAAGGATCTGAAATGCTGCTCTTACTTCACTGCACAATTTCCAGAGCTGAAATCTTATGTTTGATTGTAACTCCTGAGCTCTTCCTCTGATTACGATATTGACTGCAGCTTGTCTCAGACCATGCAGTAGGTTTAAAAAAAAAAAAAAAAAAAAAAAAGCTGACCAAAGAACAAGCTTTGAAGAGACAAAAGTCTTCCTCACCACTAATCTGCGTGTCCAGGCGCTCTCCGTGGGAGTTGAACCACTCGACGCTGGGCAACGGGTCTCCGGTGACGTTGCAATCAATCAGCGCGCAGCTCCCCTCCCTGGCAATTATCTGGCTCACTTTAGTGAACACAACTGGAACGAAGCCGCCGCCGTCTGTCACGTTGCCGTTCTCTGTACGGTTCCCATCCGTGTCCGCCGATGACGCCCCGGCAGAGCGGCAGGCGATAAGACACGCCAGGGCTACGAAGACGGATCCGCCGGTCCAGTGCATTTTTTTCGACTGTTGTGCGACACCCAAGGGGGGAAGATATCGTGTCATTCCTGCAGGGGCTCCATCCTGCCGGCTGGCTATCTCTCGATAGAGGAAGACAGTTTGGTATTCAGCCCTGTGATGTGAAGCATCTCACTGTAAAGGAAAAGTAATTGGTAGGTGTTGAACAGAGAGCATAAAATAACATACGGTAAAACTGATTGTTTTTTGCACATCTTCAAACAAACATGCTTCCACTTTAATTTAAGAAATTACTTAAGTCACTTCAAAACAAGCAACTCCCCATTATTGTCACCATAAAGGCAACACTAGTCACATTTTGCAAAACTATTCTGGTTTATTCAACTGTTAGTCAAAAAGCCAAAAAAAAAACATCAGAAGAATCAAATTTAATCAAGCATATACTCGTCACTATTGTTCTCCATTCTTCTTGAGCAACTTGAGCTGGCACAAAACAAATGTTGACCAAATACACATGTGTATGTATAAGGCTAAACTGATGATGTGGCACATCAAATAACACCTACGTATAATCCAAATAAAAACTCATTAATGTTTCAGGAATTTAAAGTTTTGAATGTTACATTCAACCTTTCTTCCCCAGACTTAATCAAACTTGGACACATTACCAAATCAAATTGTATGCTTTTCTAGACTAAGTAGGAATCCTGAATGTGCTTAAATACGTTTTGTTTAAAGTGAAAATATGGAGCCATCTTAAGTAAGGTGGCGTAGAGTCACTTTACTTGCATATGTTATTTTTGCTGTTGTGATTACACAACAGCCTGAGGGTTTCTATTTCCTGTCTGTGTTTAAGCGCAGTTATGAGACTGACTTTGCTTTAAATCGTCTCTGCCTTAATAAACCCCTGTTGTGCATAATTTTACCCACAAATTACAAAATTATTAACAGTAAAATCAGAAGCATAGCAAAACAAAACACATTTCCATAAACCCGCAACTAACTTAATATAGCAAAAATATACGTGAAGTATACATCTGTAGTTGTAATATAGTTCCTAATAAACACTAGAAACGTGGCGTCTTCCTGTTGTGTACCAGCATTAGCAATTGGCTTCCTTCGTATGAAAACAAAGCCACACGGCCACATAACGGAGCAGTGTCTGGGTGCCGTCTATTTTCCGGGTCGCTATGTTCAAACACATTCGTTGCTAGCTTTGTGTGAGTGAGGAAACAACCAGGTCAGAAAGCAAATGTGTACATCTGATAGATATAACATAGCCCAAAACATTTTTTTATTATTATTATCGAACTTCAGCTTTGCTACACAGAATAGCATCAGGGCGTGGGATGCGGCTATGTGCTGGACAGCAGTTATATATCATGGCAGCATATGAGAAGTGTGTCAGAGCGAGCTGGTGGTAGCGGCAGCTCCTATCCTCACCGAAGAGGTGCAGTGTGTGTTTTTATATATTAATTGAAGAGTGTCGCAGATGGTAGTTGCTACCTAACCAAACTGGGATTTAAATACCAGTGTAGCGTCGTAACGTTACCTCGAACGGTCATCAGCAAACGGCCAACTCAGCATCGACGGTCGCCGATAAAACGCCCTAAAATAGCCACAATTTCCGCACCGCCTTGGTTTTTATACTTACATCATGGTCTGAGTGCCATTTGTGCCCCAGTGTTTGAGAACCTCCCAGTAGATGTAATGAAAGGAGCTATTCCTGCTCCGAGACCTCCATCCTCCTTCCTGCCGATGCCTACTGCTGTGGAACCAGCAACAGTGAGCGGTGAGAGGGGGAGGGAGGGCGCAGAGCCCCGGCTACTCGGGTTGCACTGGCTTCTCTGCTGGGAACTGCAGCTACCGGGTACTAACATTTACAATCACACTTTAACAGGATAAGAACAGAAAGTAGAAGAAAAATTAACTGAAATACAGATTACCGCTACCTCGGGGATTCAACCTGGATCCCATTTTACCCATTGCCCCAAATTTTTAGCCACTACTATAGGATGGGTAAAAAACCCCCTAAAAATTAATCCTTACAACACTGTTTATATCTACAATACAATGAGTCACATCTAATCACAAAAAACCCCTCTCAATAACAATAAATGATAAAATACCTTCACTATCATAGACATGTCACCTGCTAAAGTTGCCTATGGTGATGGCTTCTTGAGCCAAAAAAGGACTACCTGTTGGGCTTTTCACTGACATCGTTCTCTCTGGTAACTAAATATCTGCACTAAAATTACAGATGCTGCATTGTGTTTTTTCCCCTAAAATTCTCTTTGTCAAACATTAAAGCTCATATATAGCTTTTAAAGAAAGAAATGCCTTTTTTTTTGGTAGCTTCAAATTACTTTCATCATTTTATGGACTAGAAAATGCAGCTGATTCATTAACTAACTGGTTTATTTGTGGAGATCATGGCTATTTTACAGAGGAAATACCCCATGGGGTTCCACAGAGACCTATACTTGGATATTGAACATATATTGAACACTAGAAATAACCTTTCAGTGTCAGATTTTAAAGGCACAGTCTGAAGTAATATGTCAATGTCACCTATAAGAACAGTAAAAACAGCAAACGTGTCAGTGGAAAGTGTTTCGGTTTCACCATCAGTGCCATGTCCAACAACTTGATGGTTATCAACATGTTTTGTCTAACATAAACAAATTTTCTCCGTGTTATAACATGAGGAATTGTTTTTATGGGCGCAGCCTGCTACCTCCATAAAGCAGCACCACTGACGAGCAGATGAACAAGTTTTCCAACACTATCTTCATCGGTTGTAGCGAGAAATAAACGTCGAGCCTTTTTTTGAAACTCATTTGTTTTTAAGTTTAATGTCAGGGTTTCCATCCAGGGCTTGTGGCCTGATCTTAGAGTGGATGGATACATATTATAGCCACTACATGAATTAAGTGTATGGGTTGCCCAAGGAAATGCAGTACAAAGACAGAAAACAGTATTGACACGAGGGTATTTAATCCTGCGGTGGAGCACTCACCCTGTTCTGCCCATGTCTGCATGAACATGACATATTGCAACTGCAGCTGGTAAATGGACTGTGGTTAAAAACCCTTCAAGCTGAAAGGCGGCATGATGAAAAGGCTCTGAAAGTGGATTGCTGTGTGTCTGAGTTGCAGAAATGACAGCAGGGAAATAAGGCACATTTAAGTCAATATAATCCAGGCTGTTACCTTGTAGCCCAGATGTGGCAAGAGACAGTCTTGCAGCTGTGACGAGTGGAAACACCAGCGTAGTATACCGAGGGTGAAGCCGTAAGAGAGCGGTCAGGAGCCGAGATAAAAATGCTCTGGTCATGAATAGAAGCCAGTGTTAAAAACAGTTGTCTTTTCATGCATTAGGATCGAGTTTAGGGTTACTGAAGATTGAGTTTGTTCTTTCTCCATGCTTTCCTCTGATCTGACCTTTTGTCGTCTCTACTTGGCTGCAAGACACCTGGAGGTACAACCGCTCTGTCAGTCGGCAAACATCCAAAGCTTTCCTTTGAATTTAACATCAACAAAAGTAATGTTGCCTTACAAGCTTCATATGATCTTTTCGTACGACTGAAGAATAGTTTTGTCCAGAACCTATCCGTTCAAGACAAAGGAGGCTTATTTTGTCCACACTCCTGCAGGTGTTGCAACAAGCGTTATTTCGTCTCTACCTCCCTGACCCCATTATCCTTCACAGATGAAAGCTCCCGCTGTACTCAAACACTTCAGAGAGCTCAGTCACGCTGTAACACAAAGAGCTACATCTGAGCACAGCGGGGAGGAAGTCAGTACAGAGGGAAGTAGAGCAGGCAACAGATGGACCCTGTTGTTCTCGGCAGGGGCCGTTATGTGATGGCCAGTGAAAGATGGATGAGTACGAAAAGTGACCCGTTCATTAAGAGTCTATTTCAAATGGTGTCACTGACTCTCCTGCATTCAGAAACGTCTGCCCCAGAATCGTAAACTACATCTACGAAACCTAATTAGCCACTGATTGGTGTTTCTACAGCTGCTGCCACGCCGTTTCCCGCCAAACGCGTAGGCTGGTGTTCTGAAAACTGAATGCTACGTGACTCTAAACGCGTAACATTCGACTTGCCACACGTTGTAGCTATGCGTGCCCTGTTTGATGCACGTCCGTTTTTGAACACAGCACATGCATTGGGATCAGGGGTGTGGAGTTCACAGTATTGTGCTGCATCAGGACTGGGTGTA